GTGGGGTTTCCTTCATTTCCCTCCATGGCAGCTCCTTGGCTTTGTTCTCACACTGAATCCTGATGTTTGCCTCTGAATTCATCCATTAAAGTCTGGATGTTTTAGGACGGGTTCTACAGAACAATCCAGAAAACAATGATCTGGTTCTGGTTCAGCAGATCCAGGTGATCCGGTCCAGGACGGTCAACTGGACCCACATTCATCCACAGGAGCTTCCTACCTGCTGCACTGTCCTCTGCATCAGCTGCCGGACCTCCTCCTGGTTCATGGTCCGACCCATGGAGAGCAGAACCGAGTCCAGAACCGAGTCCAGAACCCCGTCCTCCAACCCCTGTGGTGCTGGTACCAAACTGGGAACAAATGGCAGAGATGGAAAAATGGTTACTGATGAGAAAATGAGAGTCAAACAGACGCAGTCCCCGACAGACGCCGTCCTTGACAGACGCCGTCCCCGTCAGACGCCGTCCCCGTCAGACGCAGTCCCCGACAGAAGCCGTCCCTGTCAGACGCCTTCGTCCCCGTCAGACGCCTTCGTCCCCGACAGACGCCGTCCCCGACAGACGCCGTCCCCGTCAGACGCCTTCGTCCCCGACAGACGCAGTCCCCGACAGACGCAGTCCCCGACAGACGCAGTCCCCGACAGACGCAGTCCCCGACAGACGCCGTCCCCGACAGACGCCTTCGTCCCCGTCAGACGCCTTCGTCCCCGTCAGAAGCAGTCCCCGTCAGAAGCAGTCCCCGACAGACGCCGTCCCCGACAGACGCCGTCCCCGACAGACGCCGTCCCCGACAGACGCCTTCGTCCCCGTCAGAAGCAGTCCCCGTCAGAAGCAGTCCCCGACAGACGCAGTCCCCGACAGACGCCGTCCCCGACAGACGCCGTCCCCGACAGACGCCTTCGTCCCCGTCAGACGCCTTCGTCCCCGTCAGAAGCCGTCCCCGACAGACGCAGTCCCCGACAGACGCAGTCCCCGACAGACGCCGTCCCCGTCAGACTCCTTCGTCCCCGTCAGAAGCCGTCCCCGACAGACGCAGTCCCCGACAGACGCAGTCCCCAACAGACGCCTTCGTCCCTGTCAGACGTAGTCCCCGACAGAAGCCGTCCCCGTCAGACGCCTTCGTCCCCGTCAGACGTAGTCCCCGACAGACGCCGTCCCCGACAGACGCAGTCCCCGACAGAAGCCGTCCCCGTCAGACGCCTTCGTCCCCGTCAGACGTAGTCCCCGACAGACGCAGTCCCCGACAGAAGCCGTCCC